GCTTCTGCTATTCCAGGCAGAGAACAGAACAAAACCTCCCTCCTTTTCCTGCAACTGTTGAACAGGTGCTGGCCATTCCACTTCCTGTTTGCTCAACGTGAAAGCCGTGGGAACATTTGGGACTCCTCTTTTTTTATTTTATTTATTTATTTATTTATTTATTTATTTATTTATGTTACACTCAACATCTAATCAACCTGCCAGTCCTTTTGACTCCACCTTCCAAACAAACTCTGTCCTCTCTTCATCTACTCCCTGCTCCACTCTAACGAGAGTCTTACAGTTTGGACTGGATTATTGTTATAAACACTGTTCTGCTTTGTTTTTAATGAACCTATTACTTTTAAGACATGTATTTTCTGCAGAGTGTCCAGAGCTCTGTGAGAGACACAGGCTGAATCATATCTTGTTTCTGCAGACAGCTCCCACTCACTTTTAACGATAAAGAACTTACCAAGGCTCGCAGCACCTGCTCTGCCTGCGTCTGCTACTAGCTACCCGCACACTTCTGTTCCCAGAGGTCTTTACACCTGCTGCTTCTTTTAACAGGAGTAATATTTTATGATATTCATAAACTTCCATGCTCATTTTGTTTAGGTACTTACTCATGCCCCCTTTTTTCCAAGAGGCCTCTCTTGGTCCTGCAATAGGAAAATATCACCTGTAGTCCCTATCCCTGCATCTTTTGTAAGCTGGTTTAGTCTTCAAATCACTTTCATCCCTTGATACTAAAATTTCTTCGCTCCTGTTTCCTGTGCTCTGCTGTGTGAACTGAATACACTCAGAAGTTGAAGGGTTTGTCTGTCATGTTTCCTCACTAACTCTTAGGCTACGCAGTTTCTGGAAGATGAGCGGAGAGTCCCAGATAGAGCGTTTCTAGAGAGACATAAGATAGTGAAGACATGTGTCAGGAATTCAGGGCTCAGCTTGTTTCACTAAGAGCCCCCGCCTCTCCCTCGCGCTGAGAGTTCAACCAGGATGCATCTACCTTCACCCTGTTTCCTTGCAGCACAGGAGATGAACACAGCCTGGGGAACTGGGGTCATTTGGACCAGGTGGCTGCACCACACTGGGTCCAGGACAACATTGCCAACTTTGGAGGAGACCCAGGCTCTGTGACAATCTTCGAGAGTCAGCAGGAGGTGAAAGTGTCTCTGTTCTTCTAAGTATCCCGACACCAGGCCTTATCCAGGCATGATAGCAGCTGCTAAGGTCCCTTGGAGATCAGTCAATATAGCCGTGGGAACTTAGCTTTCAGTATCTGGATTCAGGTTGATTCTTTTATTTCTCAGCATTAGACAGTGGAACACTAAAGCCAAACCCTCCTTGGCTCCTGGGAGGAACTTTATGCCCCACCATAAAAAGTCCCTGTTGTGTATTATTTCTCTTCTCACTTAATTGGATTCTCTTTCTCTTTCACACTAGGGTAGAATCCAGTGTTGGCAAGGAGTGTTGGGAATAAACCGAAGGCTGTAAGGGGAAGGGTGTGCATGCAGCTGAGCAGGTTCACTGTTTGGCTCCAGGCTAGACCTTCACAGAGGGAACTGGAGCACTGGGATCTGTCAGGGGGTCTTCTGAGATGGTCTCATGGCTCTGAAAACCCAATAAGAAGGTCAGTAGTATCTGGGACTGAGGGTCCAGCTGGAAAAGGAGAGGTGTCCGGGAGGAAGGATGGACAGACATTGCCACAGGGAGAGTCAGGACAGAGAATGTAGGTCACAGATATGTTCTGACAGCCTGGGGAGTCTTCTTGGTGTGGAGATGAGGAGCAGAAGGCACCGAGGGAATCTATGGAAACTTCTAAGCGTTACGAGTGGTCTTCAAGCTCCCCGAAGTTGGTCAGAGCCTCACCTCATCACCATATTTTCAAATGTGTTGGTTCAGCAGCTGAATGTTTAGTGGGATTTTTCTTCCTTAGAGATAAGGAAAAGTGCAGATAAATCCAAGGAGGACATTGTGACATGTATTTCTGTAGTACCCCCACAATTTCTTTTATTAATCTCTGCATGCATCTACCAACTGGCTTCTGTCTACCTGCTATCCAACATCTCTCCTTCCACCCGCTGTGTGTTCTTGTTTCTCTTTTGCTAATTTGTGTCATATAACACTTTTCATCTTTCTAATTTAGTTTAATTCTACTATGATTTTTCATATGTAACAATTATAGATTTATAACTTCTTTCTTCTATTGTAACTCTACAGCAAGCCTAATATTGCTTTGAGCTTATACATTCTCTAGTTGGATACTTCTGCACATAGGTCATTTTGGATATGTTAGTACATAGGGTTATTTTGAATACTTCTGTAATTAGGCTCATTTGGAGACTTCTTCACATAGGATAGTTTTGGATTCTTCTGCAGGTAGGGCTATTTTGTTCATTAACTGAAATGTTTTGCCTCTAAGAAAAGAGCTAGCATTAGAGAAGTAAGATAAAAACCAGCCATGGCAAGAGAAGAAAGATTAAGTCACAAGGACAGAGAAAATAAGCAAATAAAGATCATGAAAAATCAAGCATTGTTAAATCAGTGAGTAGCCAAAGCTCTGGAAAACAGAAGAGAAAGAGGCAGGCATACCCCACTCAAAGTAAGGATCATGAAAAATCGAGCATTGTTAAATCAGTGAGAAGCCAACGCTCTGGAAAACAGAAGAGAAAGAGGCAGGCATACCCCACTCAAAATAAGGATCATGAAAAATCGAGCATTGTTAAATCAGTGAGAAGCCAACGCTCTGGAAAACAGAAGAGAAAGAGGCAGGCATACCCCATTCAAAATAAGGATCATGAAAAATCGAGCATTGTTAAATCAGTGAGAAGCCAACGCTCTGGAAAACAGAAGAGAAAGAAGCAGGCATACCCCACTCAAAACAACCAGAAGAAAACAATAAACAGCAGAACTAGTGCAGACTGCTAAAAACCAAAGAATGTAAACAGTCTAATTTCTCCAAATAAAAGACACAGATTAGCTGATTAGATTGCTAAAGGTGCACTCACCATTTGTTACTTGCAAGAAACTCACCTCACCATGAAAAACTTCCACAAACAGAGGGGAAAGGACATCCAAACAGAATCTGAAAGAAAGCAAGAGAAGCTATAATCATACCTGATTCAACAGACTTTATAACAAAACGAGTCAGAAAAGACATATTGGTAAATACACAAACCCATTCCAAAATACAATGATTGCAAATTCATAAAATGTTAGAGTGCCAACACAATAGCAGTAATATCAGGACTCTAGCACAAACACAATAGGTGATTTCAATACCCTCCTCCTACCAATAGGGAGATCATCAAAATAAAAAAGGCAATAAATATTAGAATTAAATTACCCAGCACATCATACAAACCCCACAGAAATTTACAGAATATTTCATAACAGATGCAAAATCTATAATCATTTCATCATCTTATGGAATGATTTCCAAACAGGTCCCATTTTAGACAATAAAGTCTTAGCAAACCATAAAACATGTACAAATATGAATATGGAAGTTGCAATAACTCCTTTCACTGTGTCAGAGCATAGAGAATGAAACTGTAAAGAAATCAGACAAGTATGAATCATGGAAATGGCACAATATAATTTGCAATGGACAATGATTCATTAAAGAAACAGAGGGAAGAGGGAGCAGATTACAAAATTCCTTAAGTGAAATGAAAATGGAAACACGACTTATGGGACTCAGGACAAAGGAATTCTGTCATGACCGCCTGCATTTTAGAAGGATATGGATATGCATCAATGGATTTCAATTTACAGAATAATCCCCACGGATCTATACAGTATCTATTATTTTATCAATTCATAAACTTTTTCCAAAATGAATCAGTTGAAATTTTCTTATTTTTAAGGAATTAAAGTTTGGATGCTCACCTTACTAGACCTGGATGGAGGTGGGTGGTCCTTGGACTTCCCACAGGTCAGGGAACCCTGATTGCTCTTTGGGCTGATGAGGGAGGGGGACTTGATTGGGGGAGGGAAATGGGAGGCGGTGGTGGGTAGAGGCAGAAATCTTTAATAAATAAAAAGAAGAATAAAAAAAAGAAAAAAAGATTCTTAAAATCAAATGAAAATGGAAACACAAACAACCTAGTGATGTATCTCAAAGACTTAAAAATATATGGCTAAGTAAATAACACCAAATACACAATGATAAGATGAAAAGACGTACCCAGACATGAAAGCATGAAGAAGCGATGGACATTCTTGAAACAGGCTAGAGCCAGCAAAGCTAGAGATGCACCACCTACCGCCACCTGCTGCTGTGTGTTCCTATGAAAGGAGAGGCCAAGCAACTTGGCAAATGTTTGAAGAAACCATATATACACCGACTCTTAGAGGCAAGGATTGCTATCAGTGGGGCTTTACTGTAAGAACATTGTGTTCAAAGGCCTTGCTCTGAACGACAGATTTCCTTGACCCTGAAGGTGCCATGTGGTGGGCCAGGTCACTTGGCGCGAATCCTGCAAAGATTCTGAAGGTTGTTGGAGGGTGAGATGCCTTCCAAACTTGAGAGCATGGATTCTAGGAAATGCCAGTCCAGGGAGACTGAGCAATGTGTCCTCACTTCCCAGTTAAGCAGTGTGAGGATGTTCTAACAATTTCCTGCATTGTATAAGGAGCCCAGACCAAAACCTCCCCCTACCTGCAGGCACCTCCCTGCTGCTGCCTCCTAGGAGTCCAAGGTTCACTGAGGTGAGAGCAAGAGCATTGAGGGAGAACCACATGCATAAGAAGCTGTTGGGTAGGAGTCCGGTTGTTTGTAATCTGAGTATTGGATACGGACCAGATAAAAGAGGTTAAACTCCTAGTGGGTGTGGCTTGGAGGTCCCAACTGACACCCAGGGAGCTCTTTGGAAGAGGAGAGCTTTTGTGTCATCTTAGGTTACATAACTGGCCTGGTTGATGAAAACTTAAGGAGGTGGGACCCAGGGTCCACAGGAGAAGCATTGCTAGAGCATCAGATACCTCACAGACCCGCGGAGTCCTGTCCGTCCACAATGCGGCTCTACCCTCTGGCCTGGCTTTCTCTTGCTGCTTGCACAGCTTGGGGTAAGTTCTTTCAGATTACAAATGCCTGGGTGTACATTCTCAGTCATTGTTCTGGGCACAAGTGGATGATGACATTTGCAGGGCAAAGACAAAATAGACCTGGTTGCTTGGTGATTTTTTTGCTTTCCTGAAGTGGTGCTGTGAAGTCCAAAGAACCTTAGTCTTTCAGAGACCTAGGCGAGGACAGCTACTGAATATCCAGTTAAAGGCAGCTGGCACAGGAAAGCTGGAGAAAGGTTAGTCTGTTTCCCCGGGGTTCTTAGTCAGTCTGCACGCAGGTCATAGAGAGACTGAGCAAAATGTTGGAAATATAAATTCAGGAGCCAGACACAAGACTGACTCCCAGTCAACAACTCCATGTCCATATCCAACTCCAAGTCTATACCCAACTCCAAGTCTATGTCCTTAACTTGTGGGTGCCTAGATGGTGCAGTGTCCAGATGACCCCCCTCTACAGTAGAGATGCCAGGGCCTCCTCTTCACTGAGGACAAAATAGGAGGTTGTTTGAGGTTGTTTCTACATCATTTAGGATGCCCTAGTTCTAGAGATAGGCAAGAGGTTAGGTCAAGAGATATGCAAAAAGATTGAGTAAAAACTTAATGCATTAGCAGAAATTTTGCCTTGGTTACATCAAACTATTAAAATGAAGATTTTTGTCTTCAAGCTCTCAAGAGACAGGGACAGATCACAGGGATGGTGTAGAAGAGGAAACAGTGGGTCAGTCAGACCAGGGCAGTGGAGGGACAAGGGCAACGACAATCATTATAGTTTCAGTTGGAAAGAAGAGAGGAGGAGTTAGCTGGCCTAGAGATGGCGACCTGAAACTCTTCAGGGGTCTGGGAATTATATGACTGTCCTCAGATTTTTGGTGTTTAGATCTTGGAGACCAGGACGGGTGTGGTGACCGAGGCAAGACACTTAGATAAAAGAGGAAACTGGATTATTATTATTATAACTGTATTAGTTAGACCCTGGGAGTCACAGGTCCCTCAGGATATGCAGAGCCTCATGCATCAAAGCAACAGATATAGAGAGTAAAATCCACCGTCAGTACTGAGGTGAATGAGGGGCCTTGGCATATGCCTGTGTCCCTACATGGAGGAAAGACCGAGGCAACCTGGGAATGCAACTCCCTAATGTTGCAAATGCCCAAGTCTATTTTTGACTCTGGAGTCTAGCCCAGTGCTCGGCCGTCAGAACCCTGAAAGCTCTGTCTAGATTCATATCTTCTTTCTGTCTGTGTAACAGTGCAAGGCTTGAACCAAAAGGCAGGGCAGAGTAAGAACAGACAGAAATTCCGAGTGGAAATTTCCCTCGCTGCTGGCTACCCTGCAAAACAATCCCATTGTCATCTTTAGGTGATGGGAACATGTTGAAATCTTCCCTGCTCACCTGTTGAGTAGGCAGCTGGCAAGGCTTCTTTGAGGAACTGTGTAAGGAGACAGATGGTGCTGGAGCACACAGCAAGTGTTCAGTAATGCATGTTGTGTATCACATAATTTTTAAATACAAAACTACATGATGTTGGTGTCATTGTTGTGTTTCCACTAGACACGAGGCATTCGACCCTGGCTGATCTGTTTCTATCCACTCCAGGGTAGAAGTCATTGCCAAGCTAACTCGGGCCCCAGGCTCCTTCTGTTCAGACTCTACCCTCCTTCACCTCTTTGAACTGTGGGAGATGCTTGTCAGCCTCCCACCCATTCTCCATGGTCTTCTAGAATATCCTAAGGTAGAGGCTGTTTGTAAGTATCTATTCAAAGGAAAACAGATTAAGAATGAAAGAAGAGGGCCTGTCCAATAAAGGTTGTTCTGACAAACTGAAAACCTTGAGGTTAGATGAGAGAAGAATCAGAGTGGCCATGATCAAGTGTGTGTAAGTTCACCAGATGTATAAGAAAAGACTAGCCTGGCTTGTTCAGGTCCCACAATGGGTAGAAATAGGAGAGGTGAGGAAGCTGCCGAAACTGTCTCTTCTACAAGAAAGGAGACAGTGGGAGAGATGGTTTGATGTCCAGTCCCTCCCCTCGGGAAGAGTGTGCTCAGAACTATAAAAAGAATATTCTAGAAGCTTATTGTCTGCTTTACCACAGAACTATTTCTGCTATTTATTTGTCCTCTAATTAAAACCCCTTTTCCGGTCATTCAGGGCCTTCCCCGGCAGGCACTTTCTCATCCAGGATTATCTTTCCCTCCCATGGGCCCCTCCTGAGGGCAGGAATAGAAAACCCACCCGTCTCAGGCAGGTGCCATGCTTTTTGTGAGCCATAGAACTTTCTCCTTCCTGTTCCATCAGCCTCACCCCTTTCTCCTTCCTGTTCTATGAGCCCCACCCCCGCCACCTTCCCCTTTTCACTCATTCCCATGCTCTAAGTCACAGCTCTCCTGTGACCAATCAGGAGGCCTCACTCCCTCTGCCATCTCAGGACACAACCTCATGCACTCAGCAGTAAGTATGGTGTGTCTGCTGCCCTCCTACCAGGTGAGCCCTCCTGCGGGCAGGGACCACCGCTAGCCCATCATCTCAGCAGTAAGTATGGTGTGTCTGCTGCCCTCCTACAAGGTGAACCCTCCTGCGGGCAGGGACCACCATAGTCCATCATCGCACCCAGTCTGCAGCTCTGCACCAGGATCCCAGTAGGTGGACGTTTCTAGTGGAAGCCAAAGCTCATATTCATGCCCTCTCTGTCTCTCCTTCTGCAGTGACTTCGGCTGGATGATTTTTTTTTTTTTAAGACTTGGTTTCTTAGTGTAGCTCTGGCTGTCCTGAAACTCCCTCTCTCTGTAGATCATGCCGGCCTTGAATTCACAGAGATCTACCTGTCCTGCCTCTCAAGTGCTAGGATTAAAGGCGTGTTCCAGAAGGATTCAGTTGATTTTATCAATGCCATCAGTCCTAAAGTGACAAACACACCAGGAATGCAGGTCTGCCTTTTCCTTACTGGTGTGTTCCCATTTTCTCTTGTCCAACAGGGCACCTGTCCTCACCACCTGTGGTGAACACTGTTCATGGCAAAGTCCTGGGGAGGTACTTCAGTTTAAAAGGATTTGCACAGCCTGTGGCCGTCTTCCTGGGAGTCCCCTTTGCCAAGCCTCCTCTTGGCTCCCTGAGGTTTGCTCCACCACAGCCTGCAGAGCCCTGGAGCTTTGTGAAGAACACCACCTCCTACCCTCCTATGTAAGCCGCTGGGATAGGCTTCTTTCAAAGTAGAGGGGATGAAGTAAGGTACCTTATTCTCCTGTCTAGACCCTTGGTGTTGCTTGAGAGTGGGTGGGCAGGGCTGTATGGGTGAAGAGTGAGGGTGACGGCGAGTTCTCACACCCAAGTCTGCACAGCCACCTAGTCAGAGCTGTGCAGTAGTTAGTGTTCCTCAGTCAACGTAGGACCCAAGTGGAGAAGCCCACCGAGTCCAGACAGCTTCCTAAATATGTCAGTGTAGACAGTATTTGTGCCCTCAGCGAGTTAGTTCTGAGGTTTTCCAAGATTCCACTCCTGGCTGCCTCCTTATCATTGTATTCATTTCTTCTAAAAATATTATTTGCTATTTTTTTCCATTCTGATTGCAAATATAAGACATAAATACTGAAAACTGAAATCAGGGACGAACAAAGAAATAAATGTAAAGAAAGTTAAATATCATGTACAAGTCAGCTACACAGAATTACTGTTAGCATTTGAGGTTGTATTTCCAGTCTTTTGTTTGTGTTTGTCCTTCTTTATGCAGGGATTAAAAAGACAGAAAATTTGGATAACATTTATAACATCGACATTATTCTGCACTATAAATGTAGCAATCAATGTTTAGTGGTTATATTAACTAGATATTAAACTAGACTTTAAACCCCTAATATTTTGTTTGGGTTAAGTTCTTTTAATGTCCTTGACAGTTAACAACACTGTGATATGTTTGCTGTGACCAAATCATTGCACACAATCATGGGAATTGGGAATAAGTTCAAACCAAAACGTAGGAATTTGATCAGTTTGTATCCAGAAATATCTAAGCTGCACACACTTTTCCCGTGGAAATAGGAAAACTTCCATTCAGTGGAACTTTCTCCAGGTATTGCCTTGCTCAATAAATGTATATATTGGATAAGCAGCAAAACATTGTAAAAATAAAATAATGCAATGTTGGTCTTCATTTGTGGGTTCTAAACACTAATGAAGTTGAACCTGTCATCCCCTATAGGATGTTCATTTTCTGTTTCTGTGAATTGTGCTTCTTTCTCCCGCTGGGTGGGGAAATTATTTAGGCTGGAGATGTTTTGTAAGCCACCTTTCCTTTTCCATGTCTATCACGGCACAGCTATGGAGGCATGTGATCTGAGCACCTCCAGTTTCTATTTGACAAACTGGAAGCCAGACACCATCTGGGAAACAGGATAGTGGACACTTGGGGCTGATGAGCATCTTGAATGACTTCCTGCTCAAGGCGATGTTTTTCAGGGCCTGGAACTCCACAGAACTCAATTATTGCTACCAACTCCACTCTACACTGGACTGTGGGACCCTTGATCAGGGCAGCCCACGATGGTTATTGCCGGGAAAGGAAGATGAAAGAACCTTTAGCAGGCCAGATGGTGAAGTGCTTAGAGACAGCACTCACTTCACCTGGCCATGCAGGCTAAAGCCAGAGGAAGCAATTTAGCCAAGTTTGCCCAGTATATCAGCGGTAGAGACAGAACCAGAAGGATGTCTTCCTGTGGTGTCCCCCAAAGATAGCTTCCCTGACTTGTAACAGGCTGTCACTGCAGGTCATTATCCTGTTTTATGAAAGATATCCAAGAGAGAGTATGTTTACCTCCATTGTCAACTCACCACCCAGTGAGCAAACCTTGTCCAGACAGTGCAGGGAGCGTCACTGTCTAAGGCGGTCAGCATTTGAGTGTCTCTCTTCATGGTCCACCTCAAAGGCTCCAGGAAGGGAGAGATACAAAGTGCTGCTTCTGCAGTCTTGGGAGAATCTAGCATCTCAGAAGACCCATCAGGAACCTATTAAAGACTCTCTTATCCCTGACAATGACTCCAGTCCCATGTGAATAACTTCAGTTATATGCTCAAAACTCCAAGTACAAGGTCAACTCTGGGGTAATATGTCCAAACTTCAATCTAGTGGAACCTTAGATATTCTCTCTCTCCTCCCAGGTGCTCCCAAGATGCAGTTGGAGGACAGGTACTCTCAGAACTTTTCACCAACAGAAAGGAGAACATCCCTCTACAGTTTTCTGAAGACTGTCTCTATCTGAATATATACACGCCTGCTGACTTGACAAAGGACAGCCAGCTGCCAGTAAGTGTGGGGACCACTGGACCAGAGAGCTGAGTTCCAGCTTCCAGCTCTTCTAGGCAACCAGAAAGGGATGACGGCAGCTGATAGCAGTGGTTCACAGGCCAGGGCTGATTCCAGAACCAAAGTTTTCTTTTTCACAATGTGACCTTGGATTTTGCCAGTGACATTAGATTTCAGTGGAGATCACGGTACATTTGGAATGTACATCTTCAATTTCCAAGTTTTCTCACACAAATAGAAGGAAAAGAATGTTTGTTTTCATTATTAGGTTAGACTCTGATGCCCAGAAAGACTAAGAGATCGTTCTTTAAAAGGGGAAATTGAAAAGGACTCTCAGGGGAAATTCAGCAACCTAAATCTCTCTGTGGTTAGAGAAACTGAGGCTGTGGGAAAGAAGGGAGTGTGTCACCTTTATTCTCAGGCCATGTGTGATCTGCCCATCATACCTGTGCTTCTAGACAGAGCCTGGGAGGGAGGGCATATGACACATTTATTTTCAAGCCATGTGTGACAAATGTAAAAACTTCCGTTGCCAGGTAATGGCTTTCACTGTCCCACGAGGGAATGAGAAATGAGACCACTGAGCCAATCCCATCAGCCCTTTCTCTCGCATAGGCAGCACCTGTGTAGCTCATTTCCTTGTCTAGCCGTCTTTGGCATGGTCTGATGACCAAGTGGGACATTTCACATGGAAACACAGTGCCAGAGATGGGATAGGCTGCCAGGCGCTGATCACAGGGTTGGGGGTGGGTGGGTGTCTGATGTCTGGAGATGGAAAGGAAGGTGGCCCTTTGGTTGTAAAAGGGCAACAACCAACAAATTTCCCAGAAGCCCTTTGGTGTGGAGCCCTGGCATGGGGGATAATTTGTAGATTTATGTGTTAAAATTAAGTACTACATGTGCTCAGCAGTCATGGGGAGACGAGGATAAACCTTACTCTCACACATCCCCATCTTCTACAGTGCACTGAGTAGCCCCAAACATGATGGTCAGACATGGGGTTAGAGAAAGGAGAAACTCAAGCCCTGTGTTTCAGGACCTTGCCCTCGGGTCTGCAGTGACATCATACCCTCTTCAGCACATCATTGTCCACTGTCCTTTGGCTCAGCCTTCACTCCTAGATGGCACTGACTCAGCCTCTCCTGAGGTGGCAGGGATGCCCAGGGGAGGAGACAGGCTTGAGGGCACCATGACAGAAGATAACCTGGGAGATCCTCCAGCTATGGACATGGGTTTTAGAGCCACAGGATCTGTGCTTCTCAGAGGATGAGAGAGCAGAGCTGTTTCTAACCTCAGCCTGTTTCCTTGTGTGGGAACTGTCCTCTGAGAGCTCAAAGACTCGAAAGCTGCATCTCCTAAGTGCTCACAGCCGTGCTGACACACTAGGCAGCCCTGCTGGACAGTCTGGGTCCTGGCTCACCGTGAGCTCACTGCACTGCAGCCATGAGCAGGGGCTGGGCAACTCGGAATCCAGGGGTTGGGGCCAGGTGGAAGCTTTGCCTCTACCTCTGTTTTCTGTGATCTCTCGGCAAAGAGGCACACTTCTTAGCTGTCACATAGGAAAATCCTTTCCCTGCCATGTGACTAGGTTATTTCTAGTGCATAGAACAATTCTGGATCTGTGTGCTAATTTTGGTTTTCATTACTACTATCTGGATATTATTTTCATGCTCTCATTTCTTCCCTTACTGATGAATTTTTTAAATAAAAAATATGAATTATACCTCCTCTTAACCTCAAGTCTATTAGAGAGGCTGGTATATAGTCGGCACAGAGATAATGCTACAGGAGTCTTTCTGAAGAAAGCAAGTATGAAATGGGATTGGCAGGGTAGGGGGACTTGGGTGTGCATAAAGAGGCACATTAGGAAGGAGCGCCATCAGGATATATGTGTCTCACCAGAAAAATCACTTACCTGTGGGAAAGTCTAGTACAGCACCGAGGAGTTACCTGGGATGAGATGAAGCAGAAATACAAAAGCTGACACTTTCATCTTCACTGAGGCATAGAGCGATAAGACCTCACTGGGGGTGAGGGAATCATATTTACCTTTGAGCTGTTCCCATAATGATGCTCTCAGTTGGAGAATCTTGTGAGCATTTGAGAAATGAGAAATACAGGGAGTACTGAGTTACATTACATTCTGGGCAGGAACTGAGAGAGTTTGAAATAGAGAGATACATGTTATAGCCTTGCTGGGGCATTGCTGTCGTGCGCATGACAGCCATAGTGAGCAAAACAGAGGTTGATGACCAAACCAAACAACATTCACTGTGTTCCCAAGTCTGCTACCTATGACCCGACTCCCCAGCAGCACTGAAAGCGGGCTCTCTGCACTGAAGCTATGGATTGCAAACTTGGTTATGCTCTTGTCCAGGTGATGGTGTGGATCCACGGAGGCGCACTGGTAGTGGGTGGAGCATCCACCTATGATGGACTGGCCCTCTCTGCCCACGAAAATGTGGTGGTGGTTTCCTTTCAGTACTGCCTTGGCATTTGGGGATTCTTCAGGTAAGATACTGTACTTTCTAGTCTACACATTAGCCATTACATTGACTATTTCCTGTTAATAACACAAAATACTCGAAGCGAGTTAATTACACAGAAGTTTTATTTAACACAAGCTTTGAGGGGCTGAAAGTGGAAGATTGGCTAGCTTCATCAACCAACCTACTGTTGATGGCCCTTAGATGAAAAATAAAACATTGTAGAAGAACAGAATGTTCATGAAAAGACCACATGGCGAGGTGGAAAGCCAGGGGTAGGGGAGATCTGGTTATTTCAAAAAAAATTTAAAGATGTGTTCATTTTTATTTCACGCTTATGCGTGTTTTGCCTACATGTATGTTTGTAAACCAAGTAAGCTATGCCTACAGAGGCCAGAAGAGGGCTTCAGATCCCTGGAACTGGAGTTATGGTTGATTATGAGATGCCACTGTGTGCTGGGAATTGACACTGGATACTTGACAGAAGTAGCAATTGCTGTTATGCACTGAGCCTTTGCTCCAGTCCAGATCTTGCTATTTTTATCACAAAGTTCCTTTGATGAACTAGGTCCCATGAGTTCTCTACAGATCCCTTTTAAAGTTGTGCCCTATGTGACATAATCACCTTGTCTTTGATCTTATCAATCACGTGTTCTTTCACAGATAAATAATTCCATATTACAGTAGAGACCAGAATCCTAGCAGTGAACCTACTGGCGAACAGCTCTTCTCCATGCCACAGCAACCACTGTGACCTCTGCTGCCACTCTAATCAGAGCTCTGGATCTGTGCAGTGACTGCAACCTCTGCTGCTACTCTAATCAAACTCTAGGTCTGTGCAGCCACTGTGACCCTCTCCTGCAACTCTAATCAGAGCTCTGGGTCTGTGCAGTGACTACAACCCTCTACTGCAACTCTAATCAGAGCTCTGGATCTGTGCAGTGACTACAAACCTCTACTGCAACTCTAATCAAACTCTAGGTCTGTGCAGCCACTGTGACCCTCTACTGCAACTCTAATCAGAGCTCTGGGTCTCTGCAGCCATCGCGACCCTCTGCTGCAACTCTAATCAAAGCTCTGGATCTGTGCAGTGACTGCAACCTCTGCTGCTACTCTAATCAAACTCTAGGTCTGTGCAGCCACTGTGACCCTCTCCTGCAACTCTAATCAGAGCTCTGGGTCTGTGCAGTGACTACAAACCTCTACTGCAACTCTAATCAAACTCTAGGTCTGTGCAGCCACTGTGACCCTCTACTGCAACTCTAATCAAATCTCTGAGTCTGTGCAGTGACTACAACCCTCTGTTGCTTCTCTAATCAATGCTCTGAATCTGTGCAGCCCCTGCAACCTCTGCTGCAACTCTAATAAAACTCTGGGTCTGTGCAGCCACCATGACCCTCTCCTGCAACTCTAATCAAAGTTCTGAGTCTGTACAGTGACTGTGACCCTCTGCCACAACTTTAACCAAAGTTCTGGGTCTCTGCAGCCATTGCAACCCTCTGTTGCAATCTAATCAAAGCTCTGCTTCTGTGGCAGGGATAATTATTAGAATAATTTATTATTATATACCTGACATTTTAATATGACAGTCGTTTTGCTTGGAGTGTTCTCTGAGACAGGAAGGCCTGTGCTGTCTCTTAGCAGTGTGTCCATGTCCCTTACAATGACACAAAGGCACTTTCCAAGGCTCACAGCAGCCGTGTCTTCACTATTGTCCCCCAGCCTGGAATCTTTGCTCCTGCTGCTTCTTCTAAGTCTAACTCCACTCCTTGGACAGTCCCAAGGCTTCTGTCCTCATTTTATTCAGGTCTCCACCCAACCCAGTGTCTCAAAGAGGCCTTTCCCAGTGAAAAGAAATAAAACATGAACTTCTCAGGCCCACATCTGCCATGGTGTTTGCCTGATTTTCTTTTTCTGTCTGGAATCATTCTCTCTTCAGCTACCGGTTCATGGTCAGCAGTGTTAGATGAAAGTACTCAGAGATTTGAGGTTTCTTTCCAGCTGTGCTCTAGCTCAGAGCAGTGCTGGATGCATGCTGGTCCCTTGGTACAGAGCTGCTGGAAGATAAGCACAAAGCCCCACATAGAGCAGTGTTGTAAAGTGAGATCCAGTTAGACTTCTGTGTCAGGACTGAAGTGTGCAGTCCCCAGCCCATTTGAGGTATTGAGATCCTTGCGAGCTTTGCCATGACATCTCTGCTTAAACACTAATCTGTTCTCTTGCAGCACAGGGGATGAACACAGCCGGGGTAACTGGGGTCACTTGGACCAGGTGGCTGCACTGCGCTGGGTCCAAGACAACATTGCCAAGTTTGGGGGCAACCCAGGCTCTGTAACCATCTTTGGAGGGTCAGCAGGAGCTTTCAGTGTCTCTGCTCTTGTAAGTGTCCCTGGGTTTATGTGTCTGCACCTCCTGAAAACCATTCACTGTCCAATCCAGGCATGAGCATCTTGGCTTACAAAACTGTACTCAGAGCACATCATCAGATGGCAGAGACCTAAGGTCCAATGGCCCTTTACCTGGGGAAGCTCAAGCATAGACTCAAGAACTTTCGGTTTCTACACACACACACACACACACACACACACGCACGCACGCACGCACACACACACGCATGCACACACACACATTGTTGGAGACCACTTGTTTGTTTCCTGGCCACCCAGACTCCCAAAATAACCACATAGAAACTGTATTAATTAAATCACTGCTTGGCCCATTAGCTCTAGCTTCTTATTAGTGAAGTCTTACATCTTAATTTAACCCATTTCTATTAATCTGTGTATCACCACGAGGCTGTGGCTTACTGGGTAAAGTTCTGGGGTCTGTTTCCAGTGGGGCTACATGGCTTCTCTCTGACTCCACCTTCTTTCTCCCAGCACTCAGTTTAGTTTTCCCTACCTAGCTCTGCCTTCTCTGCTATAAGCTCAAGAAAGTTTATTTATTAACCAATGGTATACACAGCATACACAGGGGAATCCCATATCTCTCTCTCTCTCTCGCGCGCGCGCGCGCGCGTGCACTTGCTTAGTTTCATATACAGGGACTCGAGAACTTTCAGTTTCTACATACTCACACATATAACTTTTTCTGGAATGTAATGATGGTTAAAAGTACAAATAGGAGTGTGAGTTCCGCATGAGCTAGATCAGGTGTCCTTATTTGGCTTCCAGCCAGATCTACTCACAAAGAAAACTTAAGGTCCAAAGATAGAGTGGAGCTTCCCTTGAGGTCTTCTGACATCTTTGCGTGTCCAAGAGGGAGGCAGCCAACTGTGAAGAACCTGGATGTCCTGGGGAAGTAGGCGTGAGAGTGGAGGGATAGGTAGAATGGGGAAGGATGGAGCAGAGACATGGGTCACAGGTACAGACAGGGGATGTGAAGTGCCTTGGTGTGTGAGACTGAGCCAGAGTGATATCTAGAGAATATACAGAATGTTCTGTGAGCTGTAAGAAACTGCCTTGGAGCTGAGTAGAAAGTTAATATTAATGTATTTTTTTTATTTTTCAAACATATATTGTTTTCATACTCAGAAGGGGAAATGCATAAGCAAAGAAAAGAGAGAATACAGATTAACGCAAAGAAGAATGTTGTTGATCTCCCTGCTACCTAGGGATTATTACTGTACTATTTTTATTTTTATTTCTCTAATCTTAACCCACAATTTTATTTAGCTGTCTATATTATCTATCTGACTTCTTCCATATATGCATAATCTCTCTTTTTTCTATTTCATGTATAATCACTCTCCCTTTTTCTTTTCCTTTGAAATATATATCTACACTTGGTCTTTCATTATTTTACCCTAAATAAATTTTAATATGTAATGCAACATAAACATTTTCCTACCTGTAAAATGTTTCTTCAGTAATATCTTTTATAATTGCATAGTATTTCATGGTAAAAATAAATCCTTACTGCCAAATATTGTAATATTAGGATCTTGAGTTGTTTCCAAGTTTTACTATGACAAAGGATAAGCACTTTAAAAATTTTTTGCAGGCCTCCACGGTCTTATTCTCAAGATATATTCTGACAAATAGGAAGGACAGGACAGGCTCTGTGGCAGAGTTAACAAGCCGTCTTTCCAGTTGTTCTTTTGAGCACCTGCCACATGATTCTTGCTCCGTCTCTTACCCTGGTCTCTTTTCCATCCCACTGATATTCTCTTGGGGATGTCAAACCAAAGAGATGTCAGGGAAGCAGACAAGGAGATATGTCATCTGCCATGTCCACAGAGGAATGGCCAGGGCAGAGGAGCAGCTGGAGGAAACCCTAAAGAGTAACTGACCACCTTTGTAAGCATATGTCCTCCTCTTCTTCTCTCCCCTTCCAGGTGCTTTCTCCTCTGGCCAAGAACCTCTTCCACAGGGCCATTTCCCAGAGTGGTGTGGCCCTCACTGCTGCTCTGTTTACAGAAAATGTCAAGCCTGTTGCTGAACAGCATCTGTGCCCTTTGCTTTTCTAGGGTCCTCGGGGATTTTGCTTTCCATGGGGTTCATCTTAAATGCTCAATGGATGCCTGAAGTGAGGATGGGAGGACAGCTATGACCCCATCTGCACCACACTATGCAGGCTCCAAGGCCCCTTTGTGTGAATAATATTGTGTAGATGCCCTGAGATCCTGCACATGTCTTAGTCATATCATATACGTCCGATCTCCTTAAAAATAGGCACAGTCATCATCCTCACCTGTGTGGAGAAACTGAGGCAAAAAGAGATTCTATGACATACCTACAGTCAACTATTTGAGAAGAGAAGGAAGCAATATTTGAAACCTCCATAACAAATGATCTCCTGAAATCCTGGAGGATTGTGTATATTTTGTGGTGTTAGAGATAAATATATTAATAGGGATAATTGGCAGTAATGAAGATAGTGCTTCTGTATCCAAATTTCACTATTTGAGCTAGTATCAGAGGCAACCCTCTGTAGGATCACCAACCAGACTTACTGGAGTACTACCTTGGTAAAGTTTCTATTGTTGTGAAAAGACACCATGCTCGTGACAACTCTTATAAAGGAAATATTTCATTGGGGATGGCTTAGAGTTCAGAGGTTTAGTCCATTATCATCATGGCCAGAAGCATGATGGCATTCAGGCAGACATGGTGTTGGAAAGGTAACTGGGAGTTCTATATCTTGACCACAGGCAACAAAAGGAGAATGTGTGTCCCACAGTGGGCATAGCTTGAACATCTGAGACCTCAAAAACCACATTTCTACAAAAACGGCCACACATAACTCCAACAAGGCCATGCCTCCTAATAGTGCCACTCTCTATGGTCCTGTAAGGCACATTTTTATTCAAATGACCACAAGTACATTTTTAAAACTTGTCTTTAGAATTTCTTTGTGGAACATGAGCATGGTGACTCATGCATATAATACCATTACTTTGAGGAGCAGAGGCAGGAGAATTACTGTCACTTTTAGACAAACCTAATCTATTTAGCAAACTCAAGACCAACCAGAACTGCATGATGTTCTAGAGAGATAGATAGATAGATAGATAGATAGATAGATAGATACAAAGACGGATACATAGATAGAATGAATATGAGACAGAATCCATTATATGCATTAGTGGAGGGTATAGTCATTGCCTTTGACCTCTACTGTTGGCTGTGATCTTTGGCAGCTGGTTGCTAATCTTTCTGGATGTAAAACGACCACATCAGCTGTTATGGTCCATTGTTTGCGCCAGAAGACAGAGGAAGAACTCATGGAGACCTCACAAAGAATGGTAAGTATATCCATTCTACAGTCCAGTGGCCATCACTCTATATGCTTGACTCCAATCTTCATCTGCTCAGCTGTCCCCTGTCATAGACAAACTGCATGGAACAGTTCCTTGCCTTTCAAATCTGTTGTTCTCAGATCCTAGTTGTGAGTTTCAGTTTCCCTTTCTTATTATTAAATAACTCATATGCTAAAGGTATTCCAATGATAGCATGATAAAAAATTTGTATGACAGCCCTCCGAGCATAGGGAAGCTCACTCTTTGAACATTTTTGCTTTTGGGTGTATCTTAGGATCTGCAAGTAAACACCCTCCTGAATTCATGGGGCTTAGAGTATTAAGCATGTTTTTTGGAAGTATGTCATATCACAATATTATTTGATACAGAAACTAATTTATAATTTTCTAGCCCAAATTTCTAGAATTTCTTATTCTGCCTCAATAGGATATTAAGATAGTCATCTATCTCCCCATTTATTCATCGATTTTCAATCAATTCATCCTTTAGCTCAACCTATATGTTAGTATTCTTTAATCAAAAGTTAGTAATATATTTCTAATTTTTCATTTATTGACATTTCAGTGTTTTATATTCTATGAACCATTCAGCCAACTTATATCTATATTTTTTCCCAATATTTTCCAGTTCTACTTGTATCAACTAGCCTACACATCCACCAATTAAACTACCTATCACCTGCCAAGCCATCATCCATCCATTCATCCAATGTATGTGGAAATAATGCAGACAAAAATGGGACATTGTTCCATCTTACACAGAACTATTCATAGAAATTCAAAGATATGTACTAAGTGAGATAAAAGTGACAGTAAAGAGAGATAATAATTGAATATAATTATATGGAATAGTTCTTGGAGAAGTGACATTTAAGGACTTATGAGCAGTCATGGGAATATACCATCATAATGAAACAGCAGAACAAACATCTAGAGAAAAAGAGCATGCAAGGTCATAAGAACTACAACCCCGGTTGGGGAATACTAATATAAATAAGCACCTGAATCACCTGAGCTCTTGGCCTCTCTGTCTGGACAATGGACCTTCCAGGTACTCCTGGGCAAACCCTGGCAGGTCTTTCCCTGTTTCTGCATGATTTGAATAAATATGGCCTTGGTTACTTTGGTCATGAAGTTCATAAAAAGAGGAAAAGATGTTCAAAAAATTTAGATAGCTATATTCTAATACTAGAAGAAAGAAAATATTTCAAACATTATCTGTGTGATACAAGAGAACCAAACTATTCAGAAATAGATGTTGACTTAGGAAAACCCAGGGGGCCTAAAATTCAAGGATACCTCAAGATGATCTGAGATCTTAAGGAAGGGCTCCTGTGATTATCCATTGCTCCATCATATATGCACACATGCTCAAACACATACACAGCGTTCCCTTCACTGATAGAGGCATGTCATACAGTGTAGCAGTCTTCCCAGATACTTCTCTATGGAGGGGATACCACAGTGTAGTAGTCTTACCAGTTGTTGAGATCTGTATGTCCAAGTTATTAGACTCTTATTCAAAGAATTGAAATGCGGCCCCTCACAGATTTCATAGTAGCAAGAAAGGGAATTTTTCAAAGGTGAAATAGTAATGTAGATTAGAAAGAAATACATTGTCAAGAGTGACAATGAACCCCATCAGTGAGTGTACTTAAGGGTTCCACAGGATGTTTGGGACTTCCTTTCATGAGAACCAAAAGAAAGAGGTCAGTTGCTAAGAGACATAGTGTGGGTGCTTCCCTGTTTTATTGGTAGGCTTAGACTATGCACGCCATTTGTTACAGTGCATGTCCCATCCCACGAAGCATGTGATTTTTATTATATTCATGCCCAGAATGTTTGAGCATAAGATGACACACAGAAAGTTTCTACTAAAAGTTAACTCAAAGGGCACAGTTCATCTTATTGCATATGCACCAAAAACTAGTTCAGGCCCAATCAACCTCTACTTTCTATACCGAGATATATGCTTGAATAGAAGTTGTCCTCAAGAGGGCAGATTTTATAGTGGTTAGGGATAGAAAAGATGCATTCTATTGTTTTGAGTGGTATATGTCTGCAGCCAGTTTAATGAAGGTGGGGGTCCTAGGCTGCCAATCAATGGCAGTTATTTTGTTAGATGAGGAGTGTATGCACAAAGTACCTGGAAGTGAGAGCCCTAGGTTGCCATGGGCATGTAGTTAGAAGAGGCATGCATCCATAGCCCAAACCAAGCAAAGTCACAGGTTGTTAAACTATTTCCTATGCTTCTCTGCCTCGGCATTATGACCACAACAATCTTGGTGACCACGGCAGAGAAAAGAGTGGGCTGGAGGAACGCCATCGAGCTTGTGGGCATCAGGATTTTCTGGTGCAAGGATTCTAGATTAGAAAAGAAGAACGGTTGTAACGGTATCTTCAGGTAACTGAGCTGTTCTGAATAGAGAATTCAAGATATGGCTGGTTCCAGAGTTTACAAAGACATCATTGAGAATCTGCCTGTCTCTATGTCTCAGCTCTCCGTTCTTTATTATCTTCTATCCAGATAATTATGTCTCTTAGTGAAGGGAAAGATAATAAAACTCTAACCTTATATTTTATTTACTTAGAAACCATCTCTTTCCCAAATGTCGCAATGGATGTGTAGGACTCTCTTGGATGGACACCACCCTATAGCCATTCTTGAATGGCTCTCTACATTCAGGCACATGGTCTTACACACAAATATCTGAAATCTGGAATTGGGAAATGAGGGAGAGAGAAACAACCAGTTTTTCTCATCCATCTCACATCTAACCCCAGCTCTCTTGAGATCACCCACTCCCTACCGTGACTTTCCCATCATTCCACTGTTTTCTTGAGGAAACTTGAGGCAATGTTACCAGAAGGAACAAGTAGGGGAAGAGGGAGAAGAGTAACATAGGCACTGGCAGAAGACATCCTCTCCAGGGCTCCACCAGTCCTGATTTGGGGTCCAATGGCTTTTTCCCACTCGCTTCTGATGTCCCTCACCATGTTCCACACTATGCTCATTCCCAGATAGCACAGGCAGGGAAGATCTGCGGGTGAGAGAATCCTGGTACCTTGGAGGCACAGTCCAAATGACCAACTTTTGTACAAGGAAGACTTTTAACACATCTTCTGCCTTTATCTTTATAGAAACTTTTAAAACTGGACTTACTTGGAAACCCAAAAGAGGTAAGGAACTTTTCTTCCCTACAATATCAAATGTTGAGTCTTAACAGTGTTTGGCTCCAATTAACTGTGAATGCAAAATCTCCGTTGTGATATTATAGTCATTCCTTGTGTACCCTGAGAGGGGAGGGAGGAAGACCAGAGGTCTGACTTCCAGTGCAGTCTCCTTCTAGTATCAAGGAAATTACAGCAGTGTGTTCCCTCTCCTCCCTCTTTCCTACCTCTCAGCAGGAGTTGGAATTTAGTGACATTAGCTGTGTGATCTCTACAGTCTTGTTCTGGGCTTTCTTCTGGATTTCCTGAAAACCCTGTAAGCATCAAATGAGACTTAGCCACCCTTCCAAATTTTACCATTTTGGAAAGAGATGATTTAACAGCTGGGGCATAGCAGTGGCAGAGATGCTGCGCTGTGCCTTTTTTTTTTTTTTTTTTTTTTTTTTTTGATTCTTCCATTCCAGGATCTGGGAGAGAACAACGGAAGGTCAAATAAAATATGGGGTGTGTCAGATTGTAGTCAGACAAAGAATTAGAGGATAACTTTGGAGATGGGGACAGAGTTAGCTATTAGTTTGATACATCCAGACAACACAAAATGTCTTGATTAGGAAGAAAGCCAGATGGTAGGAAATTGGAGACAGTGTTGCAGACAGGGGAAGAGCTGCTGCAAAACCTGTTGCACGAAGCCAGAATGCTTGGAGGGGAGGATGTTGAGGGCCTCTATTCACTCTGATTCCTCATGAGGTTACCAGATCTATTCCTGTGAACACATATTAGAATATATCCTCTTCCTTCTGATAAAAACTTGACTTTGCTTAGAGACCCAAAAGAGATAAGGATCTTGGTATTTTGAATTACAGATGCTGAGTAAAGGCAAACACCTTTCCTTCATGGAACTAGTACTTGAAGACATGATGGAGGAAGGTCATTGGTTAAGTAATAAAGAAACTGCTTGGCCTCATAGGTTAAAACATAGGTGGGAGGAGTAAACAGAACAGAATGCTGGGAGGAAGAGGAAGTGAGCTCAGAGGCCATGCTCCCCTCTCCCGACCAGACACGATAAACCAAGCCGTCAGGTCAGACATGCTGAATCTTTTCTGGTAAGACCGGTGCTACCCAGTTTATTAGAGATGGGTTGATCAGGATATCAGAATTAGCCAGTAAGGGCTAGAGCTAGTGGGCCAAGCAGTGTTTAAATGAATACAGTTTGGATGTTGTTATTTCTGGTGTAAAGCTAGCCGTGCGGGACAAAAAGCAGCCCCACAGCACCCACAACAAAGACATTTTTGAATATCAGAGATTGGCCATATATTAGAGAGAAAAAGTTCTCTGCCCTCTGACCTCTAACCCTGCCCCAGAGCAGGCTCCAAGCCCAGGCCTCTGTGACCATCATGACTTAGCTCAGAACCCTTCCCCCTGTGGAAATGCTGCCTTTTCTTTACTTATATATAGAGTGTTCTTGTTCCAATCCTGCTTCAGATGGAAAATGACAAGCTCCGTGTGTCCCAGTGTATCTTCCTTCAGAGGAGCAGTTCTCCACGGAGCCTTCTGCACCGCCCGGCTTTTCTAAGGCAGCAGCAATTAAGCCCAGGACAGATTCTATTTTGTCAGCCTATTTGATTATGGCTCCATACTTGTGATTATTTTCTTTGAATAGTGAATGAGGTCTCAGTTTAGACATCCTGAGAAAAGAGCTAATGACTTCTAAACACTGACTTTGTATCCCATAGCACTAAGGTTTGGATTGGTTTAGGTTTTATACATGCAGTCTACCTTCATTAGTCATAGATTATCTGCTTGTGAAGTCACTTACTAAAATGTACTTGCAATCCCAATTCAACCCTTTTGACACAGCTGGGTCTTTTTTACCACATGTTCTGGGCAGCAAGAAACTCAAGTCACATCATGCCCAGGTCCCCATCTAAGTCAAATCGAGGCAATACTTGATCTTCTAGACTCCTCTCCCATATTCAGAAGTGACCTCTTCATGACGTTTGCAATGTGACATCTTGATGGTTATTTACTGTTTATATTAATTTCTCTGATTAAGCTGCTCTTCCAGCATACTGATGAAGAGCTGTCCCATGTCCCCAAGCACGTGTGGACATGAGACACATTCCAGAGAAAACACATGTGGTAGATGAGCTCCCTTCAGCTTTAGTTTGTGAGGTTTTTGGTCTTGAATTCAGTATCAATGAGGCAACATCACTGTGCATCCAAAAGAGTAAACAGAGGCTTGCATCCCTTTCAGGAGATGGGGGAGAAGGGGCGTCCTTCTGGAGAGCAGTCTTGGGTGTGGTTCAGATTGGGGAGGATGGGAAAGGAAAAGAAGGGCATAGTAGAAAGCAGGACTGTGAGACAGAAAGCAAATGCATACTCACCTGAACTAGGATCAGACACACTTTAAACCTTTCCCCCAAACAGTGCTTTTTCATAATTGAATTCAATTTTTACCTAATAATTATAATACAGGAGATTACATAAGGTATCACTAAATAGAAACTGACTCATAAAAGATGAATTATAAAAAAAAATGTGACCAGAGGCTCCCAAGAACTAACTCTCAAACTCCCCTTGGAGAAATGGCTCAACATTTGTTAGTTCAATGCTTTCAGCAACTTTATAAACTTATCTATAATACTTAACCCAAGCTAGCATATAAATGGGTATTTTAGATTCAATATCTAGCCTGACCTTTGACACACATTTTTGTGCAGTATGTATTCTGCTTGGGATGAAAATTGGCCTCCTTATCTCCCTACCACCATCATCTGGCCAGTGCCAGCCCCTTAGAGAGTCCTAGACTTAGTCCTGTTAAGGCACTGGGTTTCTGTGGCCATAGACACAGGAGTCTTTGTGCTGGCCAAGCTGTTAGACAGTCAGAGAGGGCATTGGATGTAACAGGGCAGGAAGACAACAGAGGCTACCTTTCTGTCTTCTCTAGACCTATCCCTTCCTCCCTACTGTGGTCGATGGGGTGTTCCTGCCAAAGACTCCAGAAGAGGTCCTGGCTGAGAAGAGCTTCAACACTGTCCCCTACATGGTGGGCATCAACAAGCAAGAGTTTGGCTGAATCCTTCCAATGGTGAGAATGTATAGACCGCTTACATGCACTCCATAGGGGATCGAGCATCTTCCTCCCTGCTCTGATCAAGGATTATGCGCCCAGATTAACTATATTTCAAAGAAACCTAAAATTTTCCAAGAAAATTTGCACTGAGAGTCCCTGGTGAGGCCCTTTAGAGTGCCAGTTTACATCACGTGGGGCACAGGAGCCATCAGTGATTGCAGGGTTTCTAAAGAAACTACTCAAGAGGGGCTCAGGCTCTTGTATGCCCACCACCAAACTTTCTATTGGCAGAGTGGAGCTCTCTCAAGCAGACATTTTAGGGCCCTGGTATCAGCCTGAGATGTGGCTTTCAGTACTTGAAGACACACTAAAGCCAGACCAATGCTCTGAGTACAAACTTGGATGTGGTAAGCACATCACAGAGTTCTTCAGCTTTCATGCAGACTTCACAGAGCATCACAGGAATGCAGACACACAGACATAATGCTAAGTGTTCTTTCCCCTGCCACCCGACTCTGGGAGAGTGATGCCTATGCCCAGCATCCCTGAGCCCTTGATTTCTATATGACCACAGTCTGGATGTTCCCTCACTGCCTAAAGGAACATGTGATCTTGATGTGATCAACACCTTCAAGGATCCTCTCTGTGTTGCTTGTATTCATTCACATATGCCGTGGGTTTTGTTAAATTTATTCCTCAAACCCTTAAACTCCCATGTCTGCCAAGTCCCCCCATATTCTACCTTATTCCATTTAGGTTTGCTTCGTTGGCTTTTTTTTTTTTTTGCTTTTGTTACTTCTCCATGATTATTAATGCTTAATCATCTGTTTAACAGCGTATGGGGCATCAAATCTCTGAAAACAAACTGGACCAGAAGACGGCCAAATCCCTCTTGTGGCAGTTCTACCCAATACTTGTAAGGCTGTAGGGGATCATGGGAAATAGTTGAGAAAGAAAGAAAGAAAGAAGGTTGGTGACCTTCTCTAATAGCAGACTAAGTTGATGGTGGAAAACCCAAGTTTAAGCTCCTATGGTTTTGATTTTTCCACTTTACCATCCCAGTATGCTGAACCCATACTTGTGACTCTCCCATCAAAATCCCATCGAGTTCAGAATAAGTTTTAGAGGAAATGGTTTATTTAAAGCCAGCAACACCAAGACCATGGAGATCATCAGAAACAAAGACCAGTGCAGCTCGGGCCTGGAGGCACAAGACTTCCTCATGGAGTTCTTAGGATACAAATAAGATAGGTGGACACCAATTCAGTTAAAAAATTTGGAGGGGTTTAGGACTGGATGTGGCACCCTTAATTCCAGCACTCAGGAGGCAGAGGCAGGTAGATCTCTGTGAGTTCGATTCAAGCCTTGTCTCAAAGCAACTTCTAGGACAGCCAGAACTGTTATTTAGAGAAAACCTGTGTTTTAAAACACCAAAAAAGAGAATTTTTGTTCTTTGTTTGTTATGATTCATGGGATGCTGTTGTTTATAGGTTAATAGATAGTGTAGACTCTGTAAATTTAAAGAAAAATTACTAACTATCAAATCATATGACCCATATTGTTTTTCATTTCATTTTTTAAGACATGTTAATTCTGAACTTCATTGTGAGGATATAAATATCTTTTACACAGAGACCAGGGGAAAACACTTTTCTCTGGAGGATCAGGAGTAAGAAAAAGAAGTCACTTTTTTCTATAGGGACAGCTGAAGATAACGTTCACTGGAGAACAGTTTTTAATCTATGAATCCTGTTAATGCATACGGCTCTCTTCCACCAAAGCCAGTGGGACAGTAATAATATATGACTTGGATACCTGAACCCACAGAATAATTAATTAAAATAATTTTAAAAAGTTAATCAACAGCATTTTTAAAGAGAAAGCGAATCTAGATAGTTTGTTTATTCCAGTCTCCTGTGAGCAACAGGAGGAGGGTTCGGTGAGCATTAAAATAGTTTAGAATCAGAGAAGCCTTCTTAACTGACTGCAGAAGTCCTAATTCTCACCTGGTTGGATGGTCACTTTCTGATTCATTTCAGAAAATTCCTGAGAATCTGATTCAAGTGGCTGCTGATAAGTATTTAAAATGGACAGACGACCCTGCCAAAAAGAAAAACATGTTCCTAGACATATTTGCAGATGTGATATTCAACATCCCATCAGTGATGGTGTCTCGTGGCCACAGAGGTGAGTTCTAGGTGTTGGATGGAGGGTGGATATAAGTTCACCTGCTAGGTCTCTGGCCTGCCCACCTCTTGATATAGATAGCAATGAAATCTGTTGAGACCATGTTGAAATAAGGGCAGCCGGGCTGCGTCCCCAGCACCCCGGCTGCCTGGCTAGCTTATACTCGAAATAACAACACACAAACTGTATTCATTTAATCACTGCTTGGCCCATTTCTATCTAGCCTCTTCTAAGCTAATTCTCACATATTAATTTAGCCCATTTCTAACCATCTGTGTAGCGCCCCTTGGTGCGCTTACCGGGAAGATTTTAGCCTATGTCCATCCTGGGTCCGAGCTTCATCGCGTGCGTCTGCCTGGGAGCTGGGAGCATGGCGTCTCTCTGAGGTGTCTGCTCCCGAGAGGAGAGCTGTGGAGTCTGAGCTCACTTCCTCTTCCTCCCAGCATTCTGTTCTGTTTACTCCTCCCACCTATCTTCTAACCAATGAGGGCCAAGCAGTTTCTTTTTATTTAACCAATGACCTTCCTCCATCATTTCCCCTTTTTCGGTTTAAACAAAAAAAAAAAAAAGGCTTTAACTTTAACATAGCAAAATTACATATAACGAAACAGTTATCAAGTAAAAGTTACAATAATCTTTATCATAACTAAGGAAAACTATAACTATAACTAACTATTCTTAACTCCATCAAAGACTCCAGAAAGATACAATACTACCTAAGCAAACAAGAAAAAAACAACTTTTAAAACTCTAGAAATGACAGAGACATCTCGCTGCCTGGACAGTCACCCAAAGTTCCTCTGTACCGTTGGGGCATCCATCTTCAGCCTTCAGGCCCATGGTATCTAGCAGACATTTCCATAAAGCAGGAAAATTCAAAGTCAGTTCAGTCACTATCTGTTGTGTCCTGCAGAATATCTCGCAGACTCTTTCATGAATCAGGAACCCCGAAAGATCATCTCACCTTAGGCAAGTTCAGTAGTCCTCTCTCTGTGGGTTCTCTGTGTCCAGTTTATGCAATAGTCCAGGCAAGAGCAGTTTCTTGCCCAAATGGCTATCAAACTCCATATGATGCCTCTTCGATGCCCATCTTCTTCTTGAAGTAGATTGGTGCTGCCAGGAGCAGAGTGTCTCATTGTCATGAAAAGTCCTCAGTTATTAAAACATTAAATGTCCTATTCTGTAATCTTTGAAAGACATGAAGAATGTCTATCTAAAATATATCTCTATATATCTAGAAAATCTAACTAACATGACTGCAAACTTTACTATTATCGATGATTATCCATTAACAACCTATATTTCTTAATTATACAGTACATATTTAAATGAACTACACAATCACAATACCTTAATCAAAATCAGAAACACTTATACATATAACAAAATTGACCTTAAATCTCTATCAATAAAGCAAAATCTATACTAATGTAAATTATTCATACCTATATCATATCCCCCTTTAAATGTAAAAGAACATTTATAAACATTTTTTGGGAATATGGGCGCAGTTATTTCTCTCCAAACTGCTTCCTGCTGAATGGGGGCGTCTTTAATTAGGTCTTTTATGGTATAACCTGTGTGCTAGTTTCATCTCAGTTGGCAGTTGAGCGAAGCAATTTTCTGAAGGTGTTCACACCAACACTTCAGGAGGGCGTGGTCCATCATACCAAATCGGAATAGAAGAAATGAACATGGTCTCATCCTCTGTGAAAACAAAATAAGAAACTCCTTTCCAAAGCATCATGTCCTTAGATCCAAATTTCAAAGTCAAGGCATCAAAATATCTATGTTGGATTAGTTCAGCAGCATTTATAAACAAATATCTTTTAGCAGCTGTTGCTCCTTCCTCAGCATTCAAACAATTCAAAGAGAGCATAATAGCATACAGTATCAAAATTCTCTGTGTATTTTTCATCTTTGTGCGCTTTATTTTAACTTCTATTTTGTTTATTTTTACTTTTATTTTTTGCTTTTTGAGACAGGTTCTCTGTATCTTTGACCTGGAATAACTCTGTAGACCAGGCTGTCCTTGAACTCTCAGAGATCCGCCTGTCTCTGCCTCCCAGGCATTGGGATTAAAGGTGTACATTACTACACCTTGAACTCACAGAGATCTGTTTGTCCCTGCCTTCTAGGCACTGGGATTAAAGGCATGTGCTACCACACCTTGAAGTCACAGAGGTCAATCTCCCTCTGCCTCCCAAGTGTTGGGATTAAAGGTGTGTACTACCACACCCAATTACTCTCTTTCATTTTTTACTTTTAAGAACTTTAACTTTTAGTTTGCATATATTTTTAACACACTGTAAAGCATTTAGAAATTTTGTCTTTGAATCTCTCTTTACTGTATATCTCTCTTTTTTTGAGAGAGTCTTTAATTTACCAAGCAATATCAGTAGGACTAAAGCCGTGGCTTTGACGGCTGGATGTAGCCCATTCCTTAGCTTTCTGCCATTTCAACCTTGTGGCTGAGGTTCCAGCCAGAGCCGCGTTTAGTGCCACAAGTCTACAGTGTTTCAATGTCCCTGCCAGCAAGCGAGCTTTAGCAGCCTGTGCTTGTAAACCGCGCAAACCGCACAAACTGCCTGCGTAAAATGAAAGACCCTCAGAGTGGTCCTTCCCTCAGGAGGAGACCCCTAACCCAAGGAACAGTTGACACCACTGGCTGCAATTAGCAAGAGGTTTGTTGGGTGGGCACAGGTACCTGTGGGCGGCAAAGTCCTTTTGGAGGACTTGCCTGGAGAAGGTCTTTTTATAGGAAAAGGGTAGCAAAAGCAGGCATACAGAAGCAATGTATGGTTACAGGGATCTCATTGGTCAGTTCGAATGAGGCAATGGGTTCATTTAGGGGACAAGTTCCCCGGAGACATGAAGGTCTGATAATAATAACAGACTTGGCCCTATCTAGGGTACATGTAGTTTTCCCCAGAGCTGTTCGTTCCCCTCCTAGGCCTGGTGTCTGACCATAGATATCCTGTTTGACCGCCTAGGAGTACTGACTTTACCTTGAACTTACATTTGTTTGTGTGAAGGCTTTGCAAAATGGCATTACAGTAGCTAAGCTGGGGTCTTTCAAAAAGAGTCAGAGTTTACCCTGGCAGGACAGCCCAGAAAGCCGGCATTTTTAAACGGGGCAGCTTTTTTTCTGTTACTGCTGAAAACCGAAAAGCATGCGTTCAGCTTTTCATCAACACTGACTAAATGTTTCATGGCAGGACCTCTTAATGAGCTACAGGGTTTTGCTGCTAAAGCTGAGTCAGGAAGCTTCTCTTAGATGAGAGTGCTTGCTTGCCTCTAGCAAGCAGAGTGCCACAAATGCTTTAAAGCCAGAGTTCACACTGGCAGCACAGCCACAAGAAGCTGCACTTTAAAATGACACAGCGTTTTTTCTGCTGCTGTTGCCGAATCAGGAAATCTCTCTACAGCACGCCACCAACAAACAGCAAAAATCTGTGTTAAACTCTCTCTCCCTTATTTTTAAGCCTTCTCAGGTTTTTTAAGTGGGTTTAGCCCCACATTGAGCGCCATTTGTTGAAATAAGGGAGCGGGGCTGCGTCCCCAGCATCCCGGCTGCCTGGCTAGCTTATACTCGAAATAACAACACACAAACTGTATTCATTTAATCACTGCTTGGCCCATTTCTATCTAGCCTCTTCTAGGCTAATTCTCACATATTAATTTAGCCCATTTCTAATGATCTGTGTAGCGCCCCTAGGTGCGCTTACCGGGAAGATTTTAGCCTATGTCCATCCTGGGTCGAAGCTTCATCACGTGTGTCTGCCTGGGAGCTGGGAGCATGGCGTCTCTCTGAGGTGTCTGCTCCCGAGAGGAGAGCTGTGGAGTCTGAGCTCACTTCCTCTTTCTCCCAGCATTCTGTTCTGTTTACTCTTCCCACCTATCTTCTAACCAATGAAGGCCAAGCGGTTTCTTTTTATTTAACCAATGACTTTCCTCCATCAAGACCAAGACTCAAAGTTGATACCATATGACCTGCAAGGTTGTTTTACTTTTTCTACTAGTAAAGATCTATGAGAAAAGGGTGCACATGCAGTTTAATTTAGAAAAGAATCCCAGAAAACACCGCTGGGATGTAAGAAAGTGACGCAGAGAAAAGATGGACGCTAATCTGGAGAGCTGCCTAGCATGTGTCTGTCTTAGCTACAACTGCAAAACTTTAGGGAACAAGGAACGTCTTAGGGCTTTCTTTTCCGAGAGTCAAGGGAGCTGTGCATTAACCCACCAGGAGCCACATCACATCAACTGAACACTTCTCTAAGATATTGTTAGCCTTGTGGCACCTTTATCTACTGCGAGCATGAACAGAGCTGTGTCTAACAACCAGGATGGGAAAGGGGAGCAAGAGTTAATGGTGCTGCATGTGGCTGCCAGGTTAGCCTGCCCTAGAACAAGGGCTACAGTTAAGTATCTTTCAGAGTAACTTTGCTCAGTGCTGTAACCGAGAGCCTGACACACACCACCTAAGAAACAAAGGTCTGCTTTGGCTTAGAGTCTCTGAGGTTTCAGTCTGTGATATCAGGAGAGTATAAAGGAGCTTGTGACATCATAGGGACAAGGAAGCAATAAAACCATGTAGAGTAGCAACAGAAATTGTCTAAGGTATATAATAGCCACCAGGTCCTTGTCACCTGGAAACGCCTTTCAAAAACAGGCTCCACCTTCCATAATTCTGCCACCTCCCAGGGCTGTGTTAGAATTTTGAATTGGACAATTGATTAAATCATTTAGTAGATCAGAGCCCTCATGATATAACTGTTTCTATAAATGACTTCACAAATAAACCTAAAGATGTCCCTGACAAATCAAGGTATATCTCAGTTTAACCGAGGTGACAGTTGAGAATAACCATTTAAAAGCACCAGCAGTTTCTGTTGCAGATGCTCTCTTGCTGAAGGTATGGTGGCAAGTGGAACTAGAACGCCACTATGGGAAGAGGGGTCATTGGGATATCTTGGGAGGTTGACAATAGCAGAACATGCTAAGGAACAAAATGGAAAGAGGCAGGACTTAGTAGCATGTGTGTAGGTACACAGGTGCCATGATGTGCTTATGCAGGCCACAGGACAAAGAGTTCTTTCCTTCCACCTTACATGGGGTCTAGAGACTGAACGCAGGTCATCAGGTGTGTGCAGCAAGCGCTTCTACCTGCTGAGCTATCACACAGTCCCGCTCTGATTGTCTAATGTAGGCACTGAGAGCTAAAGGCCTTTTCTCTTAGGACTGTCTCCATTTTATCCAGCAGGCACTGGTATATTGTGGCCTCATCTATTCAGTTCTCGGAATTTTTTAATTTTTCCTGGAGTTCTTCAACACCATTAATTAGTGCGTGGTTTAACTTCTGCAGGTTTGTGCATTCTCTGTAGATTTTCTTGCTTGTGATTCCTAGATTTAGTCCACTGTTAGGAGATATACAGTAAGTTACTTCAACTTTCTTACATTTATGGGTACTTGATTTGCATCCATATCTATATGCTATTTAGTAAAAATTCCACAAACTGCCAAGAATGTTTTTTCTGAAGTGTTTGGGTAGAATGCCTCTGGGTGTCTTGTTGATCTATTTCTGATTTTATTTGACTCTACTGTGCCTCTGTCTTATATTCCTTTTTCCAGATGACCTGTCCATCAGTGGGAGTGGGGTATTAAAGTTGCCTATTAGCTTAGATCTAATAGAATTTGTTTTAGGAGCTGGGTACACTTGTTTTGGACACAAATGCTTAGAACAGAAATGTCCTCCTGGTAGACTGTCCCTCATCAGTATGAGTTGTTTTTTCTCTCTTTGGTTCACTTCGGTTTGAAGTCTATTTTGTCTGATAGCAGAATAGCTACGCCTTTTGCTTTCCTGGTTCCAGTTGCTTAAAATGTTTTTCTCCCCACGCTTTTACCCTGAAGTGCTGTCTGTCTTGACAGGAGGTGGGTTTCCCTGGAGGCAGCAAAAAGGTGGATCTTCCTTTTTAAAATTGATTTTATTGAGCTATACATTTTTCTCTGCTCCCCTCCCTTCCTCTCCCCTCCTCTTCTCCCCTCCACCGTGGGGATCTTGCTTTCTTAAAGCACCTGCTACTGTCACCTTTTGGCTTTGATAACGAGGAGCAAGAGTGCTACCGTCACCGTGCGCATCGCTGCTCACCGCTGGATCTGTGATCCTGCTTTGTTCTGCATCTGCTGACTGTGCTGCTATCATTTTTCCCAGGGGTCTCTCCTATGTGTTCATCTTTCTCTTCGGTCTGTAGTACTCCTTCAAGGGCCCTTTGCAGAAGTAGTTCAGTGCTTGTTTGCTCCTTTAGCCTGCTTTCGTAGTAGAAGGGATCTGGTTCACCTTTAAGAGATGATAGTTGAATTTGCAACTCTGGTCTTTCAGAAATGGACAAACACCTTTCCAAGCCCTTTTGAATTGAAGAGATTCTGTTAAGTAATCAGCTATAAGATGCCCCTGGCCTTCCTTTATGTGTTACCTGGCTTCTCTCTGGCATCTTCCACTCCCCTTTATTTGTTTTTTAGTGTTTTAACTAGAATAGGGCATGAAGGGCTCCTTTAGCATTCCCTCAATTTGGTGTCCTCTAGGACTCCTGTTCATGGACAAGGCATCTCTTTCTCTAGATTTCGGATATTTCCTTCTATGTTTTTATTGAAAATATTTTCTGTACTCTGTGCATGGAAATCTTTTCCTTATGTGTTCATAATTCATAGATCTTCTCTTTTCTTGAAGCCCCCAAACTCTCAGGATCTCCATCCATCCATGCCCCAGGTCTGTTCGTGGAATTTTTGAAAATTTATTATTGATCTTAACTGAGTGTTTCGGTTCCTCTAGCTTGTCTTCAATCCCTCATAATCTGTCTTTCTTGTGATCTGGATTATCCATGAAGCTTCCCACGAGCTTTAACTTGGGGCATTGAATTGTCATCTCCAATATCACACATCAGCCGAGCTATTGGAGACCCCAATACCTAGCACTTTTATTCCCACTTAGATTCAGAGGCCATGGGCTGGGGACTGGTTGAGGAAAGGTGTGGCTTGCAAATTATGTAAAGGATATCATTGTTAACTATTGAATAAAAGGAGGAATGCTGAACGGGAAAGGGAGGGAAACATGAGTCAGGCGGGGGTATACGAGATAGAAATATGGGAGGTGGGGGGAGACTGCACTGAAGACAGAAGTGAAGGATGGAAGGGTTTGTGGCTATAAACGGAGGGACAGGCAAGAAGATCTATTCTGGTGAGACAGAAGGCCTAACATAGTGCTTAACAATGAACGTAAAAAATGGCAAGTATAAAAAGTGAAATAAAACTAATCAAACCCAACTCAAAAAAGTCAGGTAGAAAACAAGCAAACACCACACACCTGGGCTTGTGTGCACACATGTGTGCGCACACACACACATACATGCACACACACCATGCACAAATAACCTGAAGACTGGTCCAATTTCTCCCTCACTGGGGGAAGAGAGTGATTCATCCCACTAATAGGAATGTTTTTTTATACCAGCTTTCTCAGGTAGGACAGAAACCTGGTAGGCTTCATAGGTCTGTGTAACCAATCTGTGTCCTCTGTGTGCTGACAAGAGCTTTGAGTCTGGCAGCGTTGGGTTCCCATGTAGCTCAACACTGGTCCAGGCTCTCTCAACCTCATAGGGCCTAGGCTGTTCCACTGACTCACCCCTGAGCTGGTCTAGGTGACAGTGTCACGTGTTCCCTGCGCCTTCTTCAATCTGAGCCTGTAAGTCTTCTTTTAAGAAATGTCTGCTGGACTCATTTTTTATGTGTTGAGGAAAAATAAAGCTATCGATTTTCTTAAGGTATCCTGTGTATATTTGTATACTCTATCCTGAAGAAATGTAAAGGGTTTACCCTAACTGTGCTTTGTATTGTGGAAGAATAAAGCTATTGATTTCCAAAAAAAAAAAAAGAAATGTCTGCTGGGCCTTCTTCCCCTTTCTCGTTTTATTGATTATTTTGTATTTATCTGTTTGTCTGTTTATCACTAGACAGTGTTTGAGCTCCTTATACGCATTCTTCACTTTTTTTTCTACATGTGATTGTATAGGTGCACACATGCCATAGCATGCCTGTGGAGGTCAGAGGACAATTGTGGGAGTGGGTGTTCCCCTATCACTATGGCCTCTAGGGGTTGAATACAGGTCATGGGGCTTGACAGCAACTAGCTTGAACTGCTGAACCATCTTGCCAGCCCTTACGTATACATTTAAATAGACACTTATCACAGGTACAGCTTACAAACATTTTCCCAGCCCGTGGATTGTCTGTATGCATTGCTCGTGATTTTCTTTGGCATGAGAAACCCTTAGGTTTGCTGACATCCCATTTGTTTCCTTGTGTTGCTCACAGGATTGGAGCACAGACCAAAGTCACGTGCTTTTCCCTCTGTGATTTCCACTGCTCAGGTGAACTGCCTCTGTGGTTGCAGGGATGAACTCTGTGAGAGGAAATGAGACAGGTTATTGTACACCCTATGCTGTAAATCACTTTAAGCCTTGGCAGGGACTCAGTGGGCAAAACATTTGTTGCACAAATGAGTTTGAATTCTACGGCTCCCATTAATTCAAATCAGAATCATCCACTGTCCTTCACATACAAGGTGGCACATGTACACCCACATACAACCAACACACATACACACAACAATATAAATAATGTTTTAACTTGTGAATCTGTAACTTAATCTGTGAACAATGATAGCAGTGTGTGAAACGTACATACAGTGATCACAAATGTGTGGAAATGCAAAGGATTATGCTGTGATATAGAAGACACTTTCTTACAGCTAAGCATTTTTCCTTTTTTCATATTTTTTTTCAAATTTCTCACTATATACATAGAGTCAAGGCTCCAAAATCTCCCCACTTTCCTGCTATGGGACCTGGCACTTTTGCCTCTGCTGTAGGACTGTCTCCCCTCCTCCTTGTGAATGCTGCAAAGGGCGGCATTTCCAAGGTTGGGAGAATGGAACGGGATGGACCATAAGAAGCAATAGTTGGCAGCCACATGGCTCTGTCAGCAAAAGAACTGGCATCTTCACACATGGACAGGACATGCTGGTGTGAGAAAGGAAGCAGAGGAGAGGAGGGTGGGATTGGAGGCAAGTTCTTTCTCCCTTAACTCATCTCTTTTTGGTGCCACCTCGCCGTCTTAAGAACTTACTACTCTCTGAGCAAGGAGGAAGCGGGTGTGAAACACAAACTTGAAATAGAAGAGATCCTTGTTCATTTCTATGTGTATCTGTGGTTTTTACTGCCTTTATTCCAAGTCGGCTACTTGTGCAGCCCTGAGCAAGCCCTTCCCTGAACTGTTTCTCCCCTTACAGGGACCTCCATGCAGTTTGAAGCCTGAGCTCCACACAGTAGTGTGTAGTGGGCAGAGTGATCTCTATCTGAATCCATGTCTCCGCAGATGCTGGGGCTCCCACCTACATGTATGAGTTTGAGTATCGCCCAAGCTTTGTATCAAACATGAGACCCAAGGCAGTGATAGGAGACCACGGTGATGAACTCTTCTCAGTATTTGGATCTCCGTTTTTAAAAGGTAATGTCTCTTTGCTGCCTGTGGCCTTGGCAATCAGAGGTCCGGATTTGGGCCCTGGCTTAATAGCCTTGCGCAGAGTTGTGTTTGGATTAGCCATATGAGCATGGGTGACAAAGGAAGCCAGCGTATGGAAAGAGATTACTAACTTGAAGTGTAGATTATTAACCATCTTATTCTTAAAGGATAGATTTTTAACTTGGTAATTGTCAAGACTTTGAATTTCTCATACTTTCCCAAGTTAATGACGGTCACCGTCACTCCTGTGGTGGAGCTCCTAAACTCAGAAGCCACTCGTGAGCAGCTGAAGCTTATTCTTTCTTCCCCACAGACGGCGCCTCAGAAGAGGAGATCAATCTCAGCAAGACGGTGATGAAATTCTGGGCCAACTTTGCTCGCAATGGGTGAGGCTGGTGGTAAAGACGGGACGGGTCTGGGTGTGATGTTGCTATATTGGTTGGGAGGAGTGTTTTCTAGTGTTTGTGTGGTCAACCTCCAGTCCCTGTGACTCTCTTAACAAAGACAGAGTAATCAGGTTTGTAGCTGGGAGGGGACTTCTGAGATGGTTCAGCGTAATGGGGGTGGCATTCATGTTGACTCACAGATTCAGAGGGTTCAATTGTTGGTCATTTGACCTACTTGTTCTGGTTGGTTGTCAGTCTGGAACATGGTGGGATAAGGTGATAGCTAAATCCCTTCCTTTCTCCATCTCGCTGGCAGTCAGGCAGGAAAGAGAGGAAAAAAGTAAGTCTCATGGGGGGTCTGTCCCTCAGGGTCAACTTCCTCCAACTACTTTTCCCTTCTTGAGTTCCCACCATGCCCAAGAGGCACTTTCACCTGTTGATCAAGCACAATAGGCTTAATCCCTAAGGCTCCAAGTCAAGCAACCAGAAATCTGTTTGTTGGTTTGGGTTCTGAAAAGCCTAGGAAGTCCTTTCCCCAAAGTCTCGCTTCCTTCAGCCCCAAGGGCCTCCCACGTGGGGGTTGTGCTCACGTCTTAAACAGATCCTAGGGAAGAGGTCCGGGTTCTGGCACTTCTAATAGTCTCCATGGCAACATCAGCATCACTCTCACTGCGCGAAGCCTCATGCTTTTATCGTCTTCAGCAGGGGTTCAAACCTTACACACACACACACACACACACACACACACACACACACACACACTGACCTCCAGCTCTTTCCTTTGCAATCTTTGTAGAAGCATTGACCCCATTGCCCTTGCATTCTTCATGCCTGCAAAACCACACCCGCGCAGACAGCACCAAGATTTACCTCTGGCTTCAGATGTCACCTGGCTCTATGAGCCATCAGCTGCTATAGCCTCTGAGTGTCTGGATAAGGACACAAATACCAGAGAATTTATTCTTCAGGGCACCCTGTGGGCAGGGGCATCTAGCAACACTTTCTCAAAGCAACATCCTTGGAACAAGCTTATACCTTTACAGCCTTCTGCCTATGATGGTTGTGCTCTAGCAACCAAGAAAGAGCTCAAGTATGAATGACAAAGAGAAAGACACAGGCAAAGATGGCTGAAGAGTAAGGACTAGGGTGGAACCAGAAGCTTTTCAGTTATTTCAAGTCTCTGAACTTCATGCTCGTACGAACTCCTGAGATGTAAACCTCTAGGCAGCTTTCGTATTGATCTGGGGCGTGAACGATGGCTTCTCCTAATGAAGTACTCTCTACCATTCACACCCTCCTTGTACTCAACCTAACTCACATCCTTTGTCGTGGTGCTGAGTGTGCTGTTTTTCATGGTTTTAATTTTAGTTTTTGGCAAGATTGAGTTTTTCTAATCCTCATGCTGTAGTTTTTGCTCCTGAATCTCATTGTAAATATGATTTAAAATGAGACAAAACAAAACAAAAAACCTCTATACTACCTGTATGCTATGCTACCCTTGAATTTCCATGACCAATAAATGCTTTATCATCATTAAACTTGGGACCCCATAAAATATCAGACCAGACAAATATAGGCCAAACTTCCCCTGTGTTTCTGTAGGTGAGCTTCTGCCCACTGAGACCATGCTCAAATGTCACCTCATCACAGCTTCTTCCTGAGAATCTTTGGCACATTCTTGCCTCTTGAACAGTCATCAACACTTCTCCTGGGGATTCCATATCTGGCCACTACTAGGGTCTTCATACCCAATCTCTTTTTCATCGTGTCTCTGTTTCAACCTCTTCCAAAGCTTGGCTGGCTCCTCAGAGTACACATAGATGACTCTCTCTTCTGCCATTTCCTCTTTCGAACTTTCCCTGGCTTTTCAGGGCTCGTGATTCCTGCTGCTGGTGAGGTTGCCATGTGGTACTTGGATTGCTCTCCTCGGGTGCTGGCTGAGGCACAGCTTTCTGATTTCCAATCAATGTCCCAGCCAGCAGGACTCTTCGATGGGTGTGCTTGTGCTGTCCTCTAGATGGCTGGAGCATCACTTAATCCAATAGGAGACGTCTGATGCTTTCTGGACATCTTAGCTCAGTGTCAGGAACCACTGGGTGAAGAGCTCAGATTTCCTTTTTATCAGTGGAGTTTGCATTTCTTGACAACATGAATGAGTACTTCTCAGTTGGTGTATCTATCGATTTGACCTTGCCTGTAAAGTGGCAACTGAGCAGGCCCATTGTAGAATGCTCCATGGAGGTCAGGCACTGCCTTTTCTGTTTTGGAGAAGTGGAACTCCAGGGCACAGTGAGCCTTTGGAGACCCCATTATTGTCAAATCACATTGAGCCAGTACCCGCCAAGGACCAGCTGCTCTGTGCCCCAGTTCTTGCTCTGGCTATAGGCTTGCAGGTTTCATAGCTGGTTTTGGTGTAGTTTCCTAATTCATGATAAAATTTTATGGTAGGTGAGGCACTGTCACCATCATCTAGGTCAAGGGTCTTAAAACTTTTTTCCACCCCTGGAGTTTCTGTTGGTCTGTACCTGTCCCCAAGACTGGAGAAAACCCAAGCTCAATCAGAACTCAAGGGGGCAAAAGTGGAGCTCCGTCTCCAGAAAGGGAGAAAATGTTGGAAGAGCAGCTGATACTCTTCATTTGATTTTTCTGACATGTAATCTAGGAAAGAGGTGTATATCCTTGGAAGGATTTATACACATGTCCCTTCCCCTCTGCTGAACAGAGAATTATACACAGAGATACATTTTTCTTTCTTTCTTTTCCTTTTGTTGCTGTCTTTTATAGAAAATAGATACTTTTCTTGTGGTCTTAAAAATTGCTGACTTCCCTGTCTCGAAAAACAAAAACAAACAAAATTGCTCACTGTTAACAAATGATTTAATTGCCTCAGCCACTCCTACAGGGTCACAGGATTAAAGAGGCTAACTGCCAAGTACTGCTTTTGTGTGAAGGGCTTGCTTGCTTGCTGGCTGGCTGGCTGGCTGGCTGGCTGGCTGGCTGGCTTGCTTGCTTGGATGGCTGAGTCCTCTGCTGGACATCTGTCCCAAAGTCAATCTTTGCCCATACCCTGAAAGCATACGATTTAATATGGCTCCACAAAATTATGTCTTGAGGGTTTTTCCGTTTTAAAATAATCTCATTTTTACTTTACAAGCATTGATTTTTTTTTTCTGTGTGTTTATCTGTGTGGGGTAAGAGGATACCCTGAAACTGGAGTTGCAGACAGATGTGAGCAGCCACATGGGTGCAAGGAATTGAGTCTGGGTTCATTGGAAGAACAGACAGTGCCGTCAACTGCTGAGTCAGCTCTCCAGCCCAGGTTTTACCTTTATAGTCTGTGGACTAAGAATAGCTAAGGCCTTATCTAGCAAATGTTTTCTGGCTTTGTCCTACCCAGTCTCATTTTTATTAAAAGTCTCTAATTTAGAAAAATCAAAACTTCGGCCACACTGGTGAATCTCTGAATGACCCAAGATCTAAAACGTTTAGAGGACCCCGAAAGATCTGTGCATTCAGATAGTAGCCGCCAGCTTTTTCTGACGGGTCTTGTTGTCGGGGTACTCTCAGCCTGGTGACTGACAAATCAGAAAGGCTTAGTCACTGGGGGACTCAGGCAAGTACCCAATGCCTAAAATTCAAAGCCCTTCAGTTCTTGAGGGCTGACAGTCTCAGGCCAAAACCTAGATGAGAGAGGCCCAGTGTTGTGGATGTCACTGATGAGTTCCTGGCGTGGGGACAGAGAATACGAGAGGTCATGTGTTTGCAGGGGGCATCAGCAAGTTTCCAACAACAGAAAAGGAAAAAGGAGGCACCTGGAAGTCTCTGGAGTTCTGGGTAGTGAGCGGCCTGTAGTCGCACACAGTCCTGAGTCTCGTGGAAAAGCTGAAAGCCGCGTTATTTCCATAACCAGAGGGACTCAGGGGACTCTGGGGACTCGTGGGAGTCCAGAGGACCAAATCTGGAAGAGGCGGCAGCATCCACATTTTGGTTCCTTGTCTTGTTTTGTGTGGTACTCTGCTTTTTTGTGTGTTAACTTATTTTCGAGAAAAATCTGAAGTGATGGGTCAAAAGAGCTCACTCAGGAGATCCCTCTGAACTTGATGAAATCTCACCTGAAGGACTTCCAGAGGAAAGCGCAGGCGTCTGGAGAACACGTTTTTGTAAGAAACCAGTTGGCTTTTGTTCCTCTGGTAGTCCTTCATTCTACGTGGGCTCTCCGGCTGAAGGCTCCTTTAGCCTTGTCTTATTTAGAGGGTACAACATGTAGAGTTTAGTTAACTAGGGCGTGTGGTCAAACTGCCCTACATTCTGGCCTGGATATTCCCGAAGAGAACTCCCTATCCTTGATAAAGAAGGAGAAGCCAAAGTATTTCCAATGCCAACCTTTAATTTCAGAAAAAAATAAATGAACTCAGAGGGTAGGACAAAGTCTTGACCATAATATGTCAGTCCAGCAGAAGAGAAAGAAGTGTGCTACCACCCTGTGTACCTTAAGTACAGGTCATAAAGTGAAGCCAACCAACGGAGAGACTCCCAGGCCCTTCTCACTTCCCCAGTCACGTGTTAAGTTATCCTACTCCCCAAGGCTGAACAGGTGGGGATATTTACAATCAGAGGCAATACCGTGTCCTGGGCACACCTGGGCAGATTCCACTATGAGCCCCAGTGTCCTGATCATTCACTTCTATCTGACTCTGGTTCCCAGTTTCCCTCCAATTTTCTGTCAGAAACTCATCCCCACCCACACTCATAGTCATAATAGATTTCGCCAGTGTTCCCCCTTGAGAGACATGATCCACTGCCCCCAGGTTGGTTGTAGCAGGATGTGCTTCCCTAGCTTTTCCCCAGCAGACTTCTCCTTGGTTCCTTGCTCCAGGCATTGTCTCCTTTAGAGAAGCCTTCTCATGGATGGAACCCAGAAGGAGGGGGACTGGATGAGAAAGGTCTCACCATGGGTGGAACCCAGAAGGAGGGGGACCAGATGAGAAAAGTCGCCATCATGGACAGAACCCAGAGGGAGGGGGACCGGATGAGAAAAGTCGCCATCATGGACAGAACCCAGAGGGAGGGGGACCAGATGAGAAAAGTCGCCATCATGGACAGAACCCAGAGGGAGGGGGACCGGATGAGAAAAATCGCCAGTCATTTTATTATACACGATCCTTTCTCTACTAGAGATCTATATAATTGGAAATCTCAAAATATTCCCTTCCCCAGTAAAATCCCCAAAGCTTGAATACTCTACAAGAGATGATGTTTTTCAGACACAAGCCAACTTGGGCATCGTGTTAGCAGCTGCTTCGTGCCCTCTTCATAGCCAAGAAGAGGAAAATAATTTAGAAACCGAGAAATATGTCTTTGGGAATGACCCTGTGATTATTGAAGACGTTTTCCCTGTCGTACAGCTGGATTGGGACCTAAGTTCTGGTGAAGGTAGGAAGTCTCTCAACCACTTTCACCAGACTCTGTAAGGGGGTCTCTGGGCAACACGCAGAAGCCCACAAATTTAACTAAAGGAAGCTAGATAACTCAGGGCTCAGATGAGTCCCATTTGCTTTTCTGGAGTGCCTCCTAGAGAGCTTTCAGACTTCAATCCAGCTGACCTGGAGGCCGCAGGAAACCAGAGGGCTAGTGATATGGCTTCTGTTTCCCAGTCAGCACCAGACAGAAACTAGGGAGTTGATTCAGACAATAGAAGGGTTTGAAGGAAAAGTATTGCCAGAGTTAGCTGAGAGTATACAATAAGAAAAATAGCGCAGAGGCCAGACAGACTAGGAAACTATCAAGATTATGGTGGCCACCTACCAAGTACAAGTATCCTGACTTTGAGAATCTGCAAGGGAAGGGCAAAGACCGAAGGAAACAGACATGAAAGAATTAAACATTTTTAGGGAAAACCAATGTGCACAGTACTAGGAAACACACCGTTGGGAAGACAAGTACCCATGATGCTGCTGGTGTGCATCCTGCCAAGAAGTGGGCAATTGGAGAAATGGTTGTCTGACCTGAGAACACAGGGCTGCATCTGGGTTCCAGCCAAAACAGACTGATGGCATCCAGACACCGCCACCCCTGGATCCCAGTATTAGTCTGATGGTGTGTGTGTGTGTGTGAGAGAGAGAGAGAGAGAGAGAGAGAGAGAGAGAGAGAGAGCTCCTGTTAAATTTCTTGAAGACATTGGAGTCACCTGCTCAGTTCTAAAATGGACAGGCAAGACAATAATAACAGAAAAACAATAATATGAGCAGCTACTAGTTCAAAGATCTGCCCCCTGGATCACCAAAATCTACAGATTTGCAAAAGAAGACAGCCACTCTTTCCTGGTAATGCCTAAATGTCCATACACTCTCCGAGAAGTCATCTGCATCATAAACTAAGGGCAGAAACAAATTGCGAAAAGAATGAGGTTCTACTCGTCTGGAAGGATCCTAAATTAACAGAGTTCTGCTCATCAAGCCACTGGGGGACAAATACAACCTATTAAACAACCCCTCTGGATTAAGGGTCAGACCTATTAAAAGTCTTACAATAAAAAATTTTTTTAAAAATCCCTTCTTTCTGGACAGAAAGAAACCCACCAGGACTAGCATGCCACCAAACCCCTGTAAAAGTGGAACTGGAAAGCAATGCCAGTCCTCTCAGGGTAAAGCAATACCCAGTGACTTGGGAAAATAATCGTGGAATCAAAGTCCACAATAACAGGGGGTGTGAAACAGGCACATTGGTCCCTTGCCACTTCCCTTGGAAAACTCCTTTCCCGCATGTCAGAAAACAAGGAACAGGGAGTTATAGGCTATTCCAAGATCTTCAGGTGATGAACAAGAGAGCACAGGACATTCAGCCAACGATTCCTAATGCATATATAATCTTCTGTTAGCTCCCTTCTCACCTCCTCCACCCTGAAAGGCAGGTCAGCTCTGCTAGATCTGAAGTATGACTTCTTCCATTTTCCTCTGGCTAAATGGAGCTGACTGATATTGGCCTCTGAATGGATAATGAACTAGATTACCTCCGGGTTTAAAAACTTCTTCAACTTTGTTTGATGACCCCGCCACAGAGACTTGCAAACACTCCGGTCCAACACTGAAAATGTCACACTCCTGCAATCCATGGAGGACCTCCTGCTGTCAGCAAAGACTGAGGAGGACTATCTCCACAACGCAGAGCAAGTACCGGAAACACAGCAACTCCAGGGGTATCGGGTATTTGCACGTATCCCTAAGGCAGCATACCTGAGGAAGAACAGCAGAAAGGGAAGAGATTGCTTCCCCCTCACAGAATCCAGGCAATTACTCAGATCGCAGCCCCTGAGACACAGAGACAATCCGGGAGTTCCTCGGGCTGGAGGATTTTGCTGGCTCTGGATACTCAGGTTTGCTGAGTTGGCTAAGCCATTATACATTCCACTTGGGGCACTGGAGAAGCTTAGTCTGGTCTCCAGCAGAGAGATAGGCCTTTGAGAGTTAAAGCAGCCTCTGGCTTTGGTTTCAACATCAGCCCTGCCTGACATTGCCAAGGAAGGAATTTCAGCTGCTTGTGAATGAGAGGAAATGCATTGTCGCGGCTCCTAACACAATAACTAAGATCATGGCAATGTCCTGTTGGCGAGTTCTCTAAGAAATTGGATCCAGATAGCCTGCCCGCAGCGAGCGGGGTGGGCCCTTTGTTCGCGAGCTAACCAGGCAGCGCGGAGTTTCGATCTGGGCACCGAGTGAAACATCATTGTGGTGAGTGACTGCTGCGGCAGCTGGGAACATACCTCAGCCCGCCCACACTTCCAGGCCATCCTACAGGGGCTATACTGCCCAAACCGCCTCTCTATTTCTATCCCATTCAGCTTACATCCAGATCCCCACACCCCCTGTCTCCCTCCCTCTCTCCCTCCTTTGGGGCATAGCGCCTCCCTGCCCAGCCTGCTAGGACGCTGGGACCGAACCGGGAGGACAAAGGGGTGGCCGGTAGCTCCTTTGTTCCCATAGCCTGCCCGCAGTGAGCGGGGTGGGCCCTTTGTTCGCGAGCTAACCAGGCAGCGCGGAGTTTCGATCTGGGCACCGAGTGAAACATCATTGTGGAGAAACATCTCTGGGGAGTGACATCACTGGGAAGGTACATCAGTGGGCAAGAAGACCTGATCCTGTAAAAAAAGATCCAAAAGGGAGTATTGGGAGGAAGAGATGGGCAGACGCCAATGCAGGAATTCTCCCAACAATCTGAAAAACAACACGAAACCACCAGAAGCCAGTGACCCCACAACAGGAGGACATGAACGCCTTAATCAAGAAGAAGTAGAAAAAACTGACTTCATGAAAGTGATTGACACCCTTAAACAGCATATAAAAAACGCCCTTATGGAAATGGATGAGAAGTATAATAGAAAGTTCGAGGAATTGAGTAAATCAGTGAATGATACCCTAGGAAACCAAGGAAAAACAATCAAGCAGATAAAGGAAACAGTTCATGACTTGAAAACTGAAATGGAGGCAAAGAAGAAAACACAAACAGAGGGCCGGCTGGACATGGAAAATCTAGGTAAACGAATAGAGACTACAGAATCAAGTATAACCAGCAGAATACAAGAGATAGAAGAAAGAATCTCAGATTCTGAGGATAACATAGAGAAAATAAACACTCTGATCAAAGAAAACAGCAAGTCCAACAAACTCTCATCACAAAACATTCAGGAAATATGGGACACAATAAAAAGACCAAACCTAAGAATAATTGGAGTAGAAGAAGGAGAAGAAGTGCAGCTCAACGGTACAGAAAATATACTTAATAAAATTATAGAAGAAAACTTTCCCAAACTGAAGACAGATGTACCTATGAAGGTTCAAGAAGCATACAGAACACCAAATAGGCTGGATCAAAAGAAAACATCCCCTCGCCATATAATAATCAAAACACAAAATATACAGAATAAAGAAAGAATATTAAGAGCCGCAAAGGAAAAAGGCCAAGTTACTTATAAAGGTAAACCTATCAGACTTACACCTGACTTCTCTATGGAAACCATGAAAGCCAGAAGGTCCTGGATAGATGTTCTCCAAAAACTAAGAGACCACGGATGCAAGCCCAGACTACTATATCCAGCAAATCTTTCATTCACTATAAATGGAGAAAACAAAATTTTTCAGGATAAAAACAAATTTAAACAATACGTAGCCACAAATCCAGCCTTACAGAAAATAATAGAAGGAAAATCACTAACCAAGGAGTCCAACAATGACCACAATAACTCAGACATCTAGAGACTCTTCACCAGCGCAAATCAAAGAAGGAAAACACACAAACCCTACTACTAAAAAAGTGACCGGAGTTAACAACCACTGGTCATTAATATCACTTAATATCAATGGGCTCAACTCACCTATAAAAAGGCACAGGCTAAGAGATTGGATAAGAAAACAGGATCCAACATTCTGCTGTCTACAAGAAACACACCTCAACCACAAAGACAGGCACCTACTCAGAGTAAAGGGCTGGGAAAAGGCTTATCAAGCAAATGGACCTAAGAAACAAGCAGGTGTGGCCATACTAATTTCTAACAAAGTTGACTTCAAACTTAAATCAATCAGAAGAGATGGAGAGGGACATTTTATACTCATAACAGGAACAATTCATCAGGAAGAAGTCTCAATCCTGAATATCTATGCCCCTAATGTAAAAGCACCCACGTACGTAAAAGAAACATTACTAAAACTCAAGGCAGACATCAAACCGCACACACTAATAGTAGGAGACTTCAACACTCCTCTCTCACCAATGGACAGGTCAATCAGACAGAAACCTAACAGAGAAATTAGAGAATTAATGGAGGTAATGAAGCAAATGGACTTAACAGACATCTATAGATTATTCCACCCAAAGAGGAAAGAATATACCTTCTTCTCTGCAGCTCATGGAACCTTCTCGAAAATTGACCACATACTCGGTAGCAAAGCTAACTTACACAGTTACAAAAAAATATTAGTAACCACCTGTGTCTTATCAGATCACCATGGATTAAAGTTAGAATTCAACAACAATGCTACCCCCAGAAAGCCTACAAACTCATGGAAACTGAACAGTCAACTACTGAACCATACCTGGATTAAGGAAGAAATTAAGAAAGAAATTAAAGTCTTCCTTGAATTCAATGAAAATAAAGAAACAACATACTCGAACTTATGGGACACTATGAAAGCAGTCCTAAGAGGAAAGTTCATAGCACTAAGTGCCCACCTAAAGAAAACAGAGAAAGCACATACTGGAGACTTAACAGCCCACTTGAAAGCTCTAGAAAAAAAAGAAGCAGACTCACCTAGGAGGAGTAGAAGACTGGAAATAATCAAATTGAGGGCTGAAATCAATAAAATAGAAACACAGAAAACAATCCAAAGAATCAATGAAACAAAAAGCTGGTTCCTGGAGAAAATCAACAAGATTGATAAACCCCTATCCAAACTAATCAAACGACAGAAAGAGAATTTGC